GTAAATAAAGCTATTAAAAAAACGAATGTCAAAAACTTGTGACAATATATGGTTGATCTCAAAGTCAACATTACTTTTTCCCAAACATCATAATGCACTTATCCTTCCTTTGTTACGCATACATGCATAGTCACTACACTACAGCCTATACATGATATTATTTACATGTAATTTTAATATTTTGATCAATATATAACCCCCTTTTTTCTGAAATACTTTTTTCTAAGGGAAATTATGCATAATAACAACCAAAAATTTATAAATTAGCTGACTAACCATATTTTTTCGTGGCTACTATATTCTCTATATTATGTGTAATAATGCCGAAAAAACCCTTGCTGAGAAAGAGAGGAGAAAGTAGAACAGTTTAGTGTCGAAATGGGAGAATCCGATTTCGAAAACAAATATTAAACCCAAATTCGTGTGATCTTCCATTCAAATTTCTTATAAGAAAAAAAGGAAAAATTTGGAAAATTACCCTACATTGAAATTGAGATTCATGCTAATTTTTAAATAGATTTTAAATAAATAATACAACAAAAATATTAAAAATCTGAATCATATAAAACATTATAACATTCTCTTAAATATAGAAAACAATGAAAAGAAGGAGAGGTTCTATATGATTTATAACATTCCATATTTTTGACGATTTTGAGTTAGTACAACGATTTTGGAAGCGTCGAGGATAACCAAAAAGGAAAGTTTCTTCCATTGCTTGTACCACATAGATTAGCTCTAATGTGAAAAGATTGTTCACTGCCATGTCCTTTAGTCTTTAACCATGGAACTATACATTCCTCATGGAACATATGCTTGCAAGGAGTTAGCATTACTGTTTCCTTGGGCTCAAAGTCTTCTAAACACACTGTGCATCTCTTCTCGTCTTCGTTATTTGATAGATATCGAGGGTTTCTCGGGTTTTCGCTTCCTGGAGTTTTGTTTTTGTAGTATAAGCTTCGGTTTCTGAGAAACAGGCTTTTCCGGAACAGGTTATATGTTTCTTTTGTTAAATGTTTCAGGATTTCGTCTTCTTCTCTGGCTTGTGATGCTGAACTTGAGTTGCTCTCGGGTCTAGGGGATTAAGTACATGGTTAATGAAATCGTTGTTGTTGAGTAAGCGGCTGGAGGTTCATCGAGCAAACGCCTATTAACTATCTGAAAGAGAACACCAAAAGATCAAAAAGGAGGCTGAAACATTAAGATACATGATCTAAAGAAAAGCCTACTTACTGAATCACTTCTGGACCAAGCGTTCCGTGAAGAGAAAGCAGGAACTCGCCAACCCGAGGATCGTGTGCCCGATTCATAACTATCGGGTTGATTTGAAACAAAAGAATAATAGCCATTTCTGGGGTTATTTATTCATAACTGAAATGAATGGTTTTTGTTCTTGTTACAAAGAAAGGACATGACAGACAAGTCTTTGTATTGTAACAAGTTTTTGTTTTGTAAATTTATAATGCAGTTTATATTCCTTTTCTTGCTTTGAGTTATTCTTTCTCCACTTATATTATTCCTTAAAAGCTCATAAGTTAAGCAACGATTATGTCCTACTATTTGATATGCCATTTCTTTTCTCCTGAATAAGTATCAAGAACACACCATGACATAAATCTTAAACTGGATGTTATGTAGAAGAAGAATCAACACCAGGAAAAAGTCTAGAGAAATTTCAAAAAATGCCACTTTTCAAGTGCCATTTTGCAAAATGCCACATTTTTGAAATCTTTACAAAAATGCCACTTTTTCAAAATTATTTTTTCTTTATATTATTTATGTTTGGGTTAATTATGTTCTATTAGGGTTTAGTTTTGAGTGTTTAGGGGGTTTTAGGTGTCAAAACATTTTTTAGGGTTTAGAATTTTAAGATATAGGTTTTAGAGCATGATTATAGATAGTAAATATATTGGAGTAATATATGAATTTTATAATATTAATTA